TTTGTGCCTGTAGAAAACATAAGAACTCATCAGAGTATGATTCTTATAAACCTCCTCCTGAAAAGTCAGGTGTCCTGAACAGTTACTAATTGGTGTAAATGCATTAAGCTTCTTCTCAAAATGTTACTTGTTCCTGGTTTTAGTGTCCTCTGTAGCAGCAGTTTGTATTCTGCCTAATCATCTTGCTCAGATAGTAATGAAAAATGTTATACTGTGAACTTCCTTCAGCTGGTTGTTTATCTGTCTTCTTGCACGGCATCAGAGGAGAGTCATAGTTTCAACACATTAACTGGACAGAATCAGCATAAAGATGTATTTTAGTTTATATATGAGAACTTTTTGGGTCAAATCTGAACATAAACTTCAGGAGCTACAGCAGGCTAGCAGGCTAAAAACAGTTTTTCACTGTGTGCAATATAAACAGTTTATTAAGCACTTTATTCTCATTAATCCCATCATTACTCACTGCAGCCAGTCAGCTTCTCTGCTGCTTCTAATTTTCCTCAACCTCTGTGGTTTCTGGATGAACAGTTGAGAGCGAGGGTGGATCAGTGTGCAATGATAAACAAATTACTCGTAGTTCCCTTCATGGGAAGGAGAGGGAAATTGTAAATGTGAGTTCGCTCTGACGGGACCTTGGTTGTGGTGAAGAGCTTGTGGGAGCAGTCAGGATAGTTTGCTCCTGGTGGTCTGTACAGGTATTGGGAACTTTATAATTGCATGTTTCCACCATTTGAATTAAAGCAGTGATCTGCAGAAAGAGTGAGCACTTGCACCTTTACACAATTTATATGTTATTGAGTAATCTGTCTTTTCTGTATCCGACAGATGAAACTGATGTTTATTAGAGTGATTGTTTTGTTTCAGATGTGTCCAATCTTATGGTTTCAGTTTCTGCATTCTCAGCACTTTACATCACCTGTAAGCTTAATTATATTAATAAATGTTTTTACATTTAAATATGTTTCCTTTTTTTATAATGTAGAGGGGCTGGATTCATGTTCAGTCTTTCTGTAGAGTCTAAAAGTTGTTTATCAGAAGTTGCGCTTGTTGTCACAATCTCACTAAAAAAACAGCTGCACAAGAAGTACAACATGTGATGTACCAGGGAGGTTTAGAAAACACACACACAGTGCTTCATGAAAACATTGTTAATATTTGAATCCTCCGCTTTCCAGCATGTTTCTGCAGCTGCCCTTCAGTATATTTACACTCTTTAACACGTTGCAGCAGGTAACTCGGTGGAGCCGCTTCACACACATGAGACACAAAGGCAAATAGAAAGAAAGTAAACACGGATATGTACAAACCAACCACCTTTGAACATGAGACAGGGGTTACCACGGTTACCATCTCCCCTCATATACATATACCGAGGGAGGTGACCACTGATGCAGACCATGAGATGTGGTTGAAAGCTCTGCAAACAGCCAGTAAGTTGACCTTTGAGGTAAAATATCTTAGCGTGTCCGATGGTTTGAAACTGCTGGAGAAGAAGAAGTCACGTTATTTCCTCTCTTATTACAGGAGTAAACTAAACAACCTTCAGCCTACAAACCCGACAGTAAAGTGTAGCTGGGAGCTCCACAGAGTCTCGAATATATCAGCTGTGCCCTTTAATTTGAGCAGTACAGAGGAGACCAGTGTTTAAAGGGGATGAAAGGAGTAAATGTGATTGGCCACAACACGCCTCCAGCGTCCCTGATATCAGATCACTCAGCAGCCATGAGTGCAGGCGTGAACACAGTGTGAATGTCAACATAAAAACACAGCAGTTCACTGCAGGGTGTTTCTAGTTTGTCTTTCACTTTCATTTCATGAGAAGAGAAACAAAGTCATTTCTGCAGAAACAGCCTTCATGTGATACAGATAATAATAAAATAATTTAACTGCAACAAAAACCACAGAATCAGTAAATAAAAGCTTAAAGACATCAACTCAGCTTTTACATCTGCATCTTAAAACCAGGGCCGGATTCATCAAGCTTCTCAAAATGCCACTTTAGTCTTAAGTGCTGAATTCATGAAATTTACTCCTACTTTTAAACTTAATAATAAAAGTAAGTTATCACATTCTTAAGCTAAGAATCACTCTTACTCTCCCAGTTATTGAGGACAGCTCCAGAGGTCTCTCAGGTGGAGCCGCCAGAAGGTGCTTGTGAGACGCAAATCCTTCAGGAGAGGAAGAATGTTTTAATTATTTGACGATGCCCTCAGTTAATAAGACGGGGTCGGGCAGCGGACATCTCATCAGTGACTTAATGCAGCATACATTTGAACTTAAACTGAAGGTTGTGATGACGTTTTTAATTGCCACAGGACAAACGTAGCAGTGCTGTGATTTGAGGACATCACAACCATCAATAAGCTGAATATCCACACAGTCATGCGTTTATCGACTTCCCAACACCCGGGCCCAGGTTTTTATTCACATTCAGTGCTGTGAATGAGCAGGGAAATCTGTTTTAGAGAATAAAAGCTGAAATAAATGTATTTCTTGGCAAATTTAATAAAGTAGATGCCCCACTGACTTAACACAAGAACTGTGTGGTAACATGAAACATGTGGAGCTGTGAAACTTTGACTTTGAATGATTTTATCTGAGAAACACTGCAGCTCTGTGCAGGAAGTCCATGGAGCTGCAGATTTAATTTCTCAGTTTGTTTACTTTGGGTAAAACAAATGAGTATTTTCACTCTCTCTGTGCTCACGTGCTGCCACCTGCTGGCTGCTTCCTGTCCCTGCAGGCACTCGACAGTCTTCAGGGCCCAGTTGTTAAAAACCTTTAATCAGAATGATCCGGATTTGGAAATCCCATGTTTTGCTATCACGCTCACCAGATACAAACCTTGCATGATTACCAGATTTCCAGAGCCCTAAATGGGACCACATATCACAACGTAGGCTGTTAATGATATAAACACCAGCAGGTAGAACAGCCAGTGGGGTCACTTTAATTTGAAGAGACAGAAAATGCACAATAAAACGTACATTTACACAAACATTTCCTTCTATTTCAAATTTCTTTAAACAGTCAGACCATCTGACCCACAACAAATCCAAGAAAAACAAGCAAATATAGGCCTACGTTATTCACAGATACACTGTGGATATTTTGAGCATGTGTGACCAATAGTTAAAATAAAGATCATTCAGAGTTCAGAGAGCAGCTTTTAGCTTTCAGGAGGCAACTCGGACTGACTGGACCTGCAATAAGGGATGAACTTGTTACAAACTACTTTTGAATGGTTCATCTCTGACTGTGCCCTGTGATTAAGGGACAGTTGAAATTAAATATATTATTTTGGTTTGATATTGCTGTTTCGGGGGATTATTTTTATTTTTTACTTTACTGAATGTCTTTTAAGTAATGTCTGCTTAAAATATAAATTCATGTGCTCCTACTTGATGATAAATGTTGTGTTATTTGGAAAATTCAGAAAGTTTGATGACATTTTGTTCCTGAAATCCAACCTGAATCCACCCTTCTGTTGGGATCAGGATAATCCTGTTTTTTTGGATCAAAGGGATCCCAATCCTACTAAAAAAGTTTTAAACAGCATACGGTGACACATGACCTTGTGCCTCTTATTCAATAGATACAAACATATGTACCTTTGCTCCTAAATGTTTTGGATATGGCCTTTTTTGTTTGTATAGTCTAAAGTTGACGTAATCTGTTTTCAGTAACTAAGCTTATAGGCTGCTGTGGTTTAAGTTGTCTCTAAGAGAGCAGAGGGAGAGAATATGTTGCACATGTTTCTTGCCAATAATTAAATAGTTGTCAATTCATGACACTTAATCATCTCAAATAGACGCAGTGATCAGTGTCGGCCAATACTGCTTCCAGCAATTGGTGATCGGACCCAAAAATCCTGATTGGAGCACCCCTAGTATGTTTAGTTGTTGTTGATATTTTAAATTAGACATAATTGTATTTGTGAAATCTTTCCTTTAATCTTTTTTTAATCTTTTGTGAATCTTTTCCTTTTTTCCCATTATTTATTTTAATTTCCCTTTTGCAGTGGGGAGTGTTGTAAAGCCTGCCTGTGTTTTACCAAGTAGGTTCCACGTATTAAGCATTATCAGGTAAAAACAGATCTATGGGAATAGTAATCGTTTTCCAAATAATTTTATTTAGGGGTTGCACCGGAACAATCCTAAAATCATATTTTTATGCTACATTTATACTTTTCACTTACCGAGCCATGGATGTGACACACGGAGTTGTTTTTATCTGAAAAAGGATAATTTTGTCTCACAATGAGTTTTTAATGTCAGACTCCAAACTTAATTTTTTTGTGTTTTCCTGCTATAAATTAAGTCAGTGATAACAGAGCTGAAACCGATCTAGAGTCAATTCAACACTTATGAATAGCATCAACCAAACCAGAGCCCAGCAGCATCCAGAGAGTAAAACAATGGAGGAAAGAGCAGAAGATGGAGGAACAGCAGCTCTCTGTTCTCTTTATTCTTCATCTTTATTGATCTGTCTGCTTAATGAGCAGCAGGTGGCAACCTCCATCTCTGGTGGTTTGAGATTTAAAGTTTGTTTGTTTTGAACTGATGCGATCACAGAAGTTATTCTATATATAGTTATATATAATAATGTATTTATATATTATATATAGTTTCATTATTAAAGATTTGTTAGATACAGCGACTTGGTTTTTCGAAACCATCATTAGTTCTTTACAGATCTCTGATTATTGATTGGAATAAATAAAATAATTTTAAAGAGGTGGAATTATGCTCATTTTCAGTTGTACCACAACATGTCATACTGCACATTGCTGCAGCTCCTCTTTTCTCTGTGTTAAAGGCTTCATTTTAGCTATGGAGTGATACATCTTGCTTCTACATGATCTTTGTTGGCCAATCAGAAGCGAGAAGAGCGGGTCAGCGAGAAACCCGTAAACAGCTTCGATTCAGCTGTAGGCTACATGTTGCCGACCAGCTTGGCAACATGGACTGGAGCTTCAGAGTGGTGAGTTATTAATCTGCAACAATGTAGTCCAGAACAGGAGGATTACAGTTTTTATTATTATTATTGTTGATTTTGAAAGAAGTTCTACACTAACAAAGATGTTTTCTGAAGTCTCTAGGTTATGTAGGCTAGGACGTCTCTGCAGCACAACAATGTTTCATTTAAAATTGCATTGTGACACATTTAACAAATACTGCACCTGCTGCAAGTTGAAAATTGCCCGCTTTATTGCGATTTTGATAAAAATCCATTAATTGTTCAGCCCGATTTGTTTATTAATAATTATTATTATAAGTAAACCGGTTTCAGTGTTCATATGGGAACCTGACTGCTCTTTATGTTGCTGTGTTTCTGAGTCTCATGAAAACCAGGACCTGCTGATTTTATGATGTGTGATGTTTAAACTGCTTCTTAACTCAGAGAGAAGAAACTTTACAGACTGAATCTCGATGGTTCACCGACTAAAGCATCAAAACTCTTCAAACACAAACAAACACTTTGAACTGAAGTTATATTACGTTCATGCTGTTCAGAATCTGCGGTTTTAATTGTTTCTTCTTAGTTATCTGCACTGACAGGAGGTGAGTATCAGTTAGCCACAGCCAAACCAGAAGCTTTGTGAAACCCACAGAACCACAGGAGAAAAAAAAGAACGAGACCAAAGTTTATTGATCCTGCAGAGAAACACGTTTACTGTTTCACAAGATTCCAAAAACATTAATTAAATATAAATAAAAGGTTATTACATTAACCACAAAACAACTTGAAGTCATCATTAGATTCTGTTATGAAATATATGAATAAAACTACAAAGAAACAGGTAACGTGTCGGTGCTGAAATACTTTACAGGGTAAAAAAATAATTCAGTGACTTAAAATAAGTATTTTAACAATTTATTTAATCTTTTGTTTTAGGTTTTTCATGTCACTGATATCACTGAAAAACAAGTGTTTAAATCATTCACAAAGTCTGACCTGTTTGTCTCTTTGTAGCTTTAACAGTGAAATCTAATAAATTAATGTGCTGAGGTGTGAGGGGCTCTGGGGACCAGTCCCAGGCCAGCTGGACATCAGTGGTTGGACTGGTGTGAAGGTGTGAAGGTCTACCTCAGTGAAGAGTAGACGACCTCTGGCTCTGCTGGAAACTCTGAACACACAAACACAAACAGTTCAAACAACATGAGAAACTGTTGGAGACAAAGAAACTCCATCACCAGACCACAACTCTGCTTCACTCAGTTCTCAGGAACTAACGATTCATTAACTATGCGGTCGATTTTCAAAATAAAATATCTTGTGCCGACTCCTGATCATATAGCAACAATAAGTACAGTTAAAACAGACCAAAAAATAAACGATTTAACTATGTAGCCTTCTTAACCGCGGTAGAAGCACAAAAAATACTAAAAATCTAAACAATTCAGCAAAATCAGGCATGCATAACGCTCTTATTCTGAAATGCTCCTTGTGGGAAATTCAGCCCTGCAGGGAACTGCAGTAGTAGGGGAGAGCCGGGACGAATGAAACACACTTCAGATCATTTTAAAATATAACGTTACAGACAGAAATCATTTGTTGTTGTCATCAACAACTCACGTGTGTGTTCTATCAATACCAGGTGTTATGTTGTTAAAATGTGGAACGACTTCAGTATAATTTCACTCTGAAGGAAAGGTGCGCATTGTTTCATTTGTCCCTACTGTGCAGGACAGATGAAACACAACGACATACATTAAATAGTTTAAGTTATTCTTGTTTTTATTTAGAAAGCTTGACACTGCCTTTATTAATACGTAATTGCAAACTCAATATGTCCTTTTTCTTAATAAAAAATAGTATAAATACAACTTAGCTGCTAACTAGAAAATGTAAGAGCTAATGCACATTTGGATCAGATCTGGCTGCCCTTTTTATGCACATCTGCAGCCTGTTTTCCTGCTCTACTGTGAAGACCCTGTTATTTGGCTGTGAGCAGCCTGGTGGTCCAGCCTGCAGCCTAGTGGACTCTGCTGTATCTGAATAAGGTAGAATGGCTGCGTGTCGGGATGATTGAAACATGTGTTTTAATCGTAGCTTCTAAACTGTAAATCTTTGACATTTAAAACTTCAGGATGTGTTAAAGTACTAACTAATGTTTTATCTGATCATGACCATGACACAGGGAACAATAAACACAACTCGTCATTCAAAAAACAGATCGCTTGAGTGAATTTACTTTCCGTGATTGAAAACAGCTTCTTTCGTATAACTCTGTGAAAGTGTGACGTATCCACCTGATTTTTCCCTGTTATGTTAAGTACTGTGGACTGAATGTGCTGAGGTAGTTTGGCATATCAGACTTGTATGGGCTCCGAGAAAAAAGCTGTGTTTCATTCGTCCCGCGTTTCAATCGTCCCGGCTCTCCCCTATAAATCTGCAGTACCGGAGGCTGCAGTTTCAGGACCCCCGCAATCCTGGGACCTTAGTTGTAGGACCCTAGTTCTTTTGCGACAGCGGCATCTAGTGGAGTGGTGGTGGTAATGCACAGCAACACGAAGGAGGTTAACCCTCTCTGCTGTGAGGCCGATGTGCGCAGCTGTTGGGTTAACCGGTCGACATGCATATAATCAATAACTTAGATTTAGGCACACACTCGGTGGTGGTTGTGGTAAGGGTAATTGGCTTCGGGGGGCTGTAAAGAGTAACATAGCTAGCCAGTCAGCTAGCTGGCAGTATCAAAGTAAACAAGGGTTTTTTTTGGATTGCGGTCCTGAAACTGCAGCTCTGGTACTGCAGCTACATGCTACTCGGGAACTGGGGGAAAACGGTTCACAGAGCGCTGTGATCAGTTGTAGAAGCACACTAAAGCCTTTTTTCCACAACACAAAACCAGCTCGTCCCGCCTCGACTGTGTAAAAGTTGTACCTGCTTCCAGATACTTTTTTTTCGTATCACCTCTGGCGAGGTTCTAAAAGCGAGCTTAGGCGATACTAAAATGTGACGTGAAAACACGGCAGACTACTGATTGGTCAGAGAGAATCGTCACTATTTACTGCATCATCATTGCGTGCGCCTGACAGAGGCCAGCGCCAGAAAGTTTTATATTTTACCATTTTAATATGTTATTTCATCACTAAATCCACTTTTTGAGAAGTTTTGAGGTGAGAAATCAGCTGTGTAGATTTCGAATATTGACAGTTTTACGAAAAGTGATGGTGGAACAAAAATGTCCTTGAAAGTTTTCGGAGTTGAGGAGCTCCATAAGTGGCGGTGGGGAAGCCAGCGCCAACCTACGGGAGGACCTTGCGAGGCCGGCCAGCCGCATTTCATACCGCTTATCTGTGCATGTGATTGGATTAGAAAGGCACAGGCTATAAAAGATTGCCAAGACCCTGAAAATGAGCTGCAGCACGGTAGCCAAGACCATACAGTGGTTCAACAGGACAGGTTCCACTCAGAACAGGCCTCACCATGGTCGACTAAAGAAGTTGAGTGCTCGTGCTCAGCGTAATATCCAGAGGTTGTCTTTGGGAAATAGACCTATGAGTGCTGCCAGCATTGCTGCAGAGGTTGAAGGGGTGGGAGGTCAGACTACAGCCCTGCATTTCAGCCCAAGCCCAACGGAGTGCGACTTATGCAGATCCCTAGGTTAAGAACCACTGTCCTAGCATTATACTTTTTATTTAATAACATTTATTTATACACAGATTTATACTACATCATTTTATGTGGATCTACTAAGCAAAGTTTCAGGAGCAGGACCACACATCACTCACATCACTGCTGGCATTTCCATAAATGCCCACACAACTCATTTCCTCTTCTTCGCTCTTGCATTCTACACCTCTCCCCCTCCCCCTTTCTCTGTCTCATCTCCTTCTTCCTCTCTGTAGGGTTATGAGTGGGTCCATCGTGCCCTGGTGCTAAGGCGGAAAACATCATCCTGCGTAGTGCTCGCTCTCCATCAAAAGAGCCTCGCCAAGACCCCGGTCGCTTTCGCTTTGACTCGTCATCTCAAAGACTTTGCCACTTCACTGCCCTGGGTAGAGCGCCGCAGGCTTCAGAGGCAGCTGCAACAATATCTAACAGTGGGATGGGAGGCTAATAAGCAGCTGTACCTCTCGTCCTGTGTGGTCTGATGACTATTTGTCCATAACTGACGTCTCCTGCTCCTCTCACTGCTGAGTAGACTGCAGCTGGATCACTCTCTGGAAAATAAAACACATACAAATTACATTACTGCAGGTACTACAGCTGATACCAGTACTGTTAGTATATTTACTGCTGTTTGCACTACTGCTACTAGTATGGCAAAAACATTTGATGTAACAAGTTTTATGAAAGGCTTTATAAATAGCAGCCATGCTGTAAAAAGCTCAAAGACCAAATTTAACTGGAAAGTACTGAGCTGGAAAATGAAGTTGGACGACCACCAAGCTGCTCGCTTCTTTTATAACAAGTTCACATATTTCAGCACAAAACACGTCACCATCAGCTAAAACCACACTACAGTGAGAAACCACACCAGCATCAGAACCTAGGTAACTGGAGTCAACAGGAGGACATTGCTGCTGTGGTTGGAAAAAGTATTTTCGGTCTGCTGAGTCAGTCTTTTTTTATTTAAAATCACTTATGATAATTAAAATAATCAGATCAATAATAAAACACAACAGTAAAACACCAGAACATACTGAGATATGCAATTCTGCACATTTGAAACAAGTGTTTTTTAAGAGGAAACTGGATGACAGAGCTGTCAGCATCTGTGACTAAAATATTATTGGTGTGAGTTTTTTCATGGGGTTAGAAGTCAATAAAACATAATGACTTCAAAAACATTTAGTGTGTCCTGATGGACATAAAGAACTTAAAGAAAACAGAAATGTAAGAACAGTAAAATGTGACTTTAAATGTCAACTGAATCACATGGAGTCTGTTGCTAACCTTTAGGTTTCCTGTGGAGGCATCGTCTCACCAGTACAACCAGAAGAACCAGTACACAGAAAGATAGAACCGTAGACCAAAATGCTAAGGGAGGGGCAGAGGAGGAACCAGGAGGAGAGGGGGTTGAAGGAGGACTTGTAGTGGTGGGTTTCACTGAAATGAGCAAGAAGTTATAATTAAAAGGCACAGAAAATAAAATAAATGGACAATTTATTCAACAACATGCTAACAGAAAGACACAGCAGTGAATTCATAATGTCTGTCTGGTTTAGAGTTAAAAAGATCACGTATCAAACGGTGGGTTGAACTCTGACAGATTTCACTCTTTTTTCTTTGCAGATTGCAAAGTTAGAAATGTTGTCACATCATGAATCATCTCTGCTGTCCTGAAACCTGCTGAACTCAATGTAGAAAACAAAACAAGGTCAGTTTGAGAATTATCTTTGAGCTCCTCACCTGTGACAGAGATCCAGCTGGATGGAGACTCTCCACGACCGCTGATGTTACACTTGTAGAGGCCTTCATCAGACTTGTTAACATGGTGGATGGTCATGTGACCTGTAGGCTCAGTCCTGATGAGGGAGCCATCTTTATAGAAACCAGCTGGGAGGTTGGAGGGAGGGGTCTCTGTTTTACAGTGCAGAGTGACATCATGTCCCTCCATCACAGGGAGGACAGGACTCTGCAGGATCACTGGTCCACCTCAACACAGAGACAAACTACAGCATTTCATCATTTACACACAGCTTCATCAACACTAACTCCACAGTCTGATCTTACCAGTGACAGTGATGTTGATGGTGTTACTGGTTGCTCCCTCTCTGGACTCACACCAGTAAACTCCACTGTCCAATGTGGCGATGTGGCTGATGTAACAGGAAGAACCAGCTGATCTTCCCCAGTCAGCTTCACACTGAGTCCTGGTTTCTCTGGTTGTGTTCCTCCTCAGCATCCATCCAGCAGAGCTGTCGTCCTCCTCACAGCTCAGAGAGACAAAACTTCCAGGTGAAAAACTGAGAGCTGCTGGGACTCACAGTCAGAGAGGCTGGAGGGGATAAAGTTACATTTTTAATGAAATTACTGGATGTGTCACAGTAAAAGCTTGACACTTTGTTGTATATAACAACAGGATATGCTCAACTAACCAGGACCATGTGGTTGCTCACACACCGGGCAAAAGTACCCCCCCCCTTTGGATGTTTCACCCATTAGTTTCTTTTATACATGAATTCATGGTCAATGTAATTTGGCTTTTTTGACAAGAATTTGCACAAAAAACCTTTTTAATATCAAAGTGAAAACAGATTTTTACAAACTAATGTCAATTAATTACAAATATATAAGGCGAAAGAAGATGATTGCATAAATATTCACCCCCTTCAGGTCAGTATTTAGTAGATGCACCTTTGGCTGCAATTACAGCAATGAGTCTGTGTGGATATGTCAGGCTGGCACATCTGGACACTGCAAGTTTTGTCTGTCAGGTTGCTCGGGGATCAGGCGTGAACAGCTCTTTTCAAGTCTAGCCACAAATTCTGGATTGGCTTGAGATCTGGGCTTTGACTTGGCCACTCAAGAACATTCACCTTGTTTGGGGTTGTTGTCTTGCTGGAAAATAAATCTTCTCCCAAGTTGTAGTTCTCTTCCAGACTGAGTCAGATTATCCTCCAGGATTAGGTGATATTTTTCTGCATTCATGTTCCCCTCTACCTTTACAAGCCTTCCAGGCCCGCAGCTGCAAGGCATCCTCAGAGCATGATGCTGCCACCTCCATGCTTCACGGTGGAGATGGTGTGTTTATGGTGATGTGCAGTTTTGGTATTCTCCAAACATAGCAAGGCAAGGCAAGTTTATTTGTATAGCACATTTCAACAACAAGGCAATTCTAAGTGCTTTACACCAAACATAAAAGCAACATAGGGAAATTGAAGGGGAAAAAACACATTAAAATATAATTTTGGAAAGGGTGAGATAGAAAATAAAAACAGGATTAAAAAAAACAGGACCGTAAAAGTTACAGTGCAGTGTACAATCAGGGTTAAAAGAGTTAAATGGAAAATACAAACAGGCTGAGCAAATAATTGAGTTACAATTATTTTTTTGTCTTTGAAAAGAGAATAAACTAAGTACACTTAATCTACTCTCTCTAGCTAGTCTGTACTCGGGTCCATAGCAATCTTTGAGTCCACTGAAACTCCAAAAACCCTCAGACACTACGGAGAAACCAGGACATGTCTGTCAGCAGGCCACTTTGAACCATTTATACTCTGGACCCATCTGTGCGTTTACAGGTGGACAGAGGTTCCTGCAAATCACTCAGGCGTGAGATTTAAGACCACTTCCTTCACTCTGTTCAATCTCACTCTCATTATCTTTTCACTCAACTACCTACTCATTTCTCACCGTGTAAATAGTGTTCACTGAGAATCTAAAAACAAAGACAGAGAAAACAGGACGTTACAGTGCAGTGAAAGTTACCAATCTATGGATTTAATTAAAGGCAGTGGTAAAAAGAAAAGTCTTCAGTCTTAATTTAAAAGAACTGACAGTTTCAGCAGACCTGCAGTTATCTAGGAGTTTGTTATACGGAGCATAAAAACTGAACGCTGCTTCTCCTTGTTTAGTTTTGACTCTGGGGACAGAAAGCAGACCTGATCCCAGACGACCTGAGAGGTCTGGATGGTTCATAACGAAGCAGAAGATCAGAAATGTATTTTGGCCCTAAACCATTTAGTGATTTATAAACTAACAGCAGGATTTTGAAATCCATTCTTTGACATACATGAAGCCAATGTAAAGACCTCAGAACTGGAGTGATGTGATCCACTTTTTTGGTCTCAGTGAGGACTCGAGCAGCAGCGTTCTGAATCAGCTGCAGCTGTCTGATGGATTTCTTAGGGAGCCCTGTAAGGACACTGTTACAGTAGTCGAGTCGACTGAAGATAAATGCATGGATACGTTTTTCCAGGTCCTGCTGAGACATAAGTCCTTTAATCCTTGATATATTCTTCAGGTGATTGTAGGCTGACTTTGTAATTGTCTTAATGTGGCTGCTCAAATTCAGGTCTGAGTCCATGACTACACCAAGATTTCTGGCTTTATTTGTGGTTCTTAACATTACAGACTGAAGCTGAGCACTGACTTTCAATCGTTCCTCCCTGGCTCCAAAAACAATAACTTCAGTTTTATCTTTGTTTAATTGAAGAAAATTCTGGCACAGCCGTTGACCTGCTCAATACAGTCACTCAGCGCCCGTATGTGATCATAGTCCCCTGGTTATATCGTTGTGTAAGTCTGTGTGTCATCTGCATAATTATTGTAACATATTGTGTGCATGTAAATGTTAAACAGAAGAGGCCCCAGAATGGAGCCTTGGGCAACTCCACATGTCATTTTTGTCAGCTCAGATGTGTGATTACCCATAGACACAAAGTAGTCCCTGTCCTTTAAGTAGGATTCAGACCAGTTTAGTACTGTGCCAACCCAGTTTCCAAGTCTGTCTTGTAATATGTTGTGGTCGACCGTGTCGAATGCAGCACTGAGATCCAATAATACTAAGACTGAAATTCTGATGTCATTGGAGACTTTAACAAGAGCCGTCTCAGTGCTGTGGTTTGGTAGAAAACCTGACTGGAAGACATCAAAACACTTATTTAGTGCCAAGAAAGCACTAAGCTGTTGAAAAACAGCTTTTTCAATGATTTTACTTAAAAATGGGAGATTTGATATGGGCCTATAATTGCTCATTAGTGACCTGTCTAGATTGCTCTTTTTTAAGAGTGGCTTAATGACTGCAGTTTTCAGGGCCTGTGGGAAAAAACCTGAGAGGAGAGACATGTTGACAATTTGTAGTAGATCTGAGGCCATGCATTTAGACATTTTTGAAAAAACCTGTTGGCAGAATATCAAGGCAGCATGAGGAGGATTTCAGATGTTGTATTATTCCTCCAGGTTTATATGGTTAATAAATTGTTTTTAAGTGGACACAGGGACAAGACATATCCTGTTACTGACATGGAGGCACTGATTGTTTGTCTAATTGTTTGAATTTTGTCTGTGAAGAAGAAAGCAAATTCATTGCAGGCCCTGGTGGATAGAAGTTCAGAGGCTACACAGGATTGTTGTTTAGCCTGTCGACAGCAGCAAACAGGGCAAGTGCATTATTAGTGTTTTTGGGGATGATGTCAGAGAAGAAGGACCTCCTTGCATTTCTCAGCTCTAAATTATAAACGCTCTCTTTATAGATGTCATAATGAACCTGGAGATTTTTTTTTCCACCTCCTGCGTTCAGCTTTTCGACACTCTCTTTTTTGAGTTCTAACCAGCGTGGCATTTCTCCATGGAGATCTTCTCTTACCAGAGACCACCTTCACCTTGGCTGGTGCAATGGCATCAATAACATTTGTAATTTTAGAACTGAAATTATCTACAAGCTCATTGACTGAGACCCGTGAGAGTGCGGGTGTCGAGGAGAAAGCCTCAATAAATTTTTCACTATAGTGTTTTCAGTGATATGCCGTTTTGTGATCACCTCTGTTTTAACATTTGTGTGCACATAGATAGCACTCTCAAAGAAAACACAGGAATGATCAGAGAGAGCAACATCAGTCACCACATCAGTCACCAGTAGATGACCAAAGTGTGTCCAAAGTGTGCCCCTTATTGTGTGTGAGCTCCGTCACATGTTGGGTCAGTCCATAATTATCAAGAACACAACACAGTTCTTTAGTCCCTCTGTCCTGGGAGTTGTCAACATGGATTTTAAAATCACCAATAATATCTACACAGTCAAAGTCAGAACAGATTATAGACAGCAGTTCACCAAAGTCATCAAAAACGTTTGCACAGTATTTAGGGGGCCTGTAGATGTTTAGAAAAATAGCTCGAGAAGAGGAATTCAGCTGAAGAGCCACATATTCAAAAGAAGCAAAATTACCATAAGACATCTTTTTGTATTGGAGGGAGTCATTAAACAAAATGGAAACTCCACCTCCTCTCTTATGCACTCAGCTTCACTCTGAAGTTGGGAGGGGTAGACTCGATAAGGACAGCTGCACTGTTATCTTGATCCAACCAAGTTTCAGTTAAAAACTGAAATTAATTGTGAGTGGTTATAAAATCATTGATTAAAAATGTTTTTCCTGTGAGCGACGTCTCCGAGGCTTCCCAGCTTTGGCCATTAAGTTGCAGTGTTCACACAATTAGAAATCAATGCCATTTAAGCAGTATGTGGAAAAGGGAAAAGAGAAGGGTGACCTTTGAGTTTTTTCATTTTCATTTTCATTATATTTTTAAGACTTTAATGAAAATGAAAATTGGATTCTTGGATCTTAATTTTAACATGCATGAAGGGACAAATTCTATTTGTCAAATACACACTATGCACTAATTCAATTATTTAAGTCTGTTAATTTAGGTGAATGTATGTTTAAAACATTCTCAGTGTGTATTTGTGGTCTTTTTGTGTTTGTGTTCAAACTCTTTACAGAACACATTTTGTATGACCTTTTACCAGAA